CACAGCGAGGCCCTGTTCCCTCTGCCAGCATGCAGGGTGACATTTACAGACTCCACAGCATGACATGACATTGGTGGAATCTGCCTTCTCACCTTGTTTACTTCAGCCCCAGTGTACACACCTGCCCTTGGCCTTATGCTTGTAGCTATGTGTTCATGTTCGTGGTGAGTGGGCAGAACATCAGCACAGGTGCTTTTGTCCTGCCCAGACACTGAACCCTCGCAGCCACTGGTAATCTCTTCTCCAGTTTAAAGGTTTGCTTTTCCAAAGTGGTGACATAGATGGTATGCTAGTCCATTTCCAGCTACCCTACTGAAGTCCCTGTGGCTGGACTTCACTAGAAGTAACCTTGCAAGAACAAAGACAAATACAAGATGAATGTCCATTTTGTATCTGTGTATTCAAAGTGGTTAGGATAGATATATAGTTACATTCTCTTAATGAATAGAGTGATTTGTTCTAATGGTGTTTGTAAATAGGATATCAAGTCCACATCTTCAACAGCAGTTAACCACTAGTAAGAATGTATGCAATGTGTTAATTATTGAAACTGTCCTACCAATTTGATTTGAAACTGTCTCATTGCTGTTTGTTTCTCAATAAAATTATGAAAAAAAAAAATAAAAGACCAATACAGCTCGTGGTTTTGGGTGTGTCGGGCCTGGTGGTCATTATCAGCTGTCTCTGAGACGGTGCACTTGTGGGTGGTACCCTAAAGGCCAAGTGCGCAGACAGCAGAGATCACATAAAGGCAGGAAGTGGGGCAGGGGAAGGGGCCAGGGTTTCTCTTTTGTTTCATAGCAGTCTCTCCTGAGAACTAACTTGGGGTCCCCTGAGAACTACAATGACCTCTTCCTAGGGCAGCACCCCAAATGCTTAAAGACTTCCCTAGACCCGACCCTCAAACGGTCTGTCTACCTCAGCACCATCACCATCCACTAGGGACCCAGCTTCCAGCACATAAGCCCCAGGATGACAGGGACCCATTTAAACCACATCCAACCATAGCAAGTGGAACCACACAGCATGCCTGGACCAAGCTGTTTCTTTTCATCCTGGGTAACTGCCTAGGCTGAATCTGGGTGTTTGCAAATATTGACAGCCAGTGTTACTCAGCCCAATTTAGTAGTACTTCCTGGTATGGCTATACTGCAGCTTGCTTAACCATTTACCTACTAAAGGACATCTGGAGAGTTCCAATCTTTGGTTATCACAGATTAACTTACCACAGGTTTGGCTACAGTTTGTTTAGTTTAGTTTAGTTTTTTGTACTGGGGATCAAACTCAGGACCTTGCACTTGCAAGACAGGCACTTATGCCACTGAGCTATTTCCCCAGCCCTGGCTACAGGCTTCTATGTGAACATAAATTTTCATTTCTCAGGGATAAATGCCCAAGGAGTAGGAATTTCTGCCGACTTCCAGGAACCCCCAGACCCAGTCCTAGCCCAGGTCCGGTGAGTGTGTGGAGAGCTTCCTGCTACCCTGCGCCGG